GAAGCCTGCAAAGGCGAAGTGTGGAAAGCAGTGTTGTCTCCATGCTGTTTCTTTGTTATTTGGCTTGTTGGCTTATTACCTCCAGAATCTAAGAACACCACAATATCTTCCTCCTGCCATTTTTGGAACTTGGAACCTCTAGGACCAACCTGTAACCTATCTACATGCATGCAGCCATGCACGAGAAGAAAGAACAGGATATATACTTTTACCACTAGCAAGTGGCAAAGAGAGATTTTGGCACAATAATAATTTGATTTCTTTATGTGCGCAAGGAGACCAAAGGTTTGATATCTTTTGATGATAAAAGCTTCACCAGTTTGTCTTAAATGACCTAACTATTTCAAATGTGATTGCTTTTCTGGTCACTCTTGCAGTTGCAGCAAAAGGTTGGCGATTGGGACTTGTAAGAAAGTATTTGTAAGTTATTTATAAGGATCAGTTAGATAACTTACTTTATTTTGGACTTATAACTCATCTTGTCCAATTTTGTTCATCTCATATTTTGACACAACAAACAACGAAGTGGACTCTATTTTAATTGATCATAATCTATTCCATCAGCCCACCAAACGAGATCTTAAAGTTTTAGAGTCTAATATTGGTTAGCAAGTTTAGTAGTTCTATGTTTTGCAGAGATAAACTTACCTATAGCATTGTATCACAATGGTGATGACTCATTCTCTTAAAGTTGTATTGGTGGTATTTGTTGGAGGAAAGGGATCCTCTCCAAATCCCTTCCTCCTAATCCATTAAGTCTAGGGATCCGGGCTGTTGAAATTTAATCTAACGGCTACAAACAGGAACCCACTTTAAAAGTTATAATAACTTTATGGTTGGATCAACTTTTCAATAGTCCGGATCCCTGAATTTGGTGGATTAAGAGAAAGGGATCCGAAGAGGATCGCTTTCCTTCGTTGGACCGCTACTTGGTCTTCATAATTGAGTCTGACTCATATATTAACACCAATATACAACAAAAGAGCTTCTCTCAAAAGTCGTATATATATGGGTTAGAATCCAAAAACATATGCTTTTGACACATATTTTGACTCTCATTTTGTAGAAGCTCATTTTGTAAATTTAAACAATTCGAACTGTATATAAGTTAATGCATCATTCATAAATCATCCTTAAAAAAATTAGATAAATTCAAAATCACTAAGACATTTATTTATAGTGAAGGAGATGAACAAACATGGTTCTAAAAAACACCAAATTTATTCCAACGGTCATATAGTTTTTAATTTTGGGTATTTTTAGTAGACATAATATTTGAGGTAAGACATAAAAGATAAACGGTTGAATCATTGGAACTTATTACAGAGTGAGCCCCACAAAAATTTGTCCTTGAATTCTAAACATGTATATAATGGTGGCAACGTGTATTCTTTGATTAGTATAAATTCTATTGAGTCATAGGGTTTAGCCATTAGTGAAGAACACCTAACATAGAACAAGTTCACCATCATTTAGTGTGCTGAATCAATAATACATTATCACGTAGAGAAAAATTTATATATGACAATGCATTATTAAATAAAGACATCATGTGACTATGAACCCGTTTTATATAAGTTTTTTTTTCTTATGTCCACGTGCAAAACCCTCATAAAAAGCCAGTAAGGCATGACCATCAACTTTAAGGACCAATAACTTTAAATTTTGACTACTTAAAGATGTGATATTTTAATTACCCCCTTTGATTGCTACCTCAGTGTATAACTGTTTAATCATGAAGATGAAAAGGACCCGTCACCAACGACGTTGTTTGCCCCGACTCTGAAGAAAATATCTAATGGAGATGTATGAGCGAAATAGAAGGAGTGATGACATTCTGTTTGGGCCTTGGCTTTGAAAGCAAGGTGTCATGTTTCCTGGTCTTCCAAATTTCTTAAACCATGTTAGTTTAATTTTAGTGGTTGTTTGTTTAGTGGGGTTTCGGCTACAATGCCACTCAATAGTACCAGTTATATGCAAAGACTACCCGTTGGAAGGATTCATTAGATTCATATATCCAAGATTTAGTTATTAACCAGCCTCATGCACGCATTCATGCGCGTGCAGAAGACATTTTTTGAATTACGGCATGTTAGTTATTAACCAATTAAAGCAGTTGAATTCACATAATAAAATCAGTTTCTATAGAATTTACATTAAGAATAAAGAAAATAACATTTAATAAACAATTAATTGAATCACATTATTGTTAGCCCATTGTGGGGCAAAGCCCACCCCTCCCCGTTAATATAGATAATATCGTTTATTAAAAAAAAAAATCATTTGACAACGAATTTAATCACATTATTTTCTGTGTGCAAAAGACTTTTTTTTATAACCGGCATTACAGGTCTCTTCAGATTTTTGAAAGTGTTTAAAATAGAGAGAATAATATTTAATAAACAACTTATTGAATCACATTATTGTTAGTACATTATGAGACTACGCCTACCCCTTTGCCCTTAGTATAAATAATATCGTTTGTTAAAAAAAAAAAAAATCATTTGACAACTAATTTAATCACATTATTATCTGCGTGCGAATTTATAACCGGCATTACACACCTCTTAAGATGTTTTGAACTGTTTAAAAATAGATAAATCAAATCACATTATTGTAGCCTATTGTGAGGTACTAATAAAAAATAATAAAAAAAAAACCACAAATCATTAATTCTTAAAAAATTTTGTATTAAAATGATGAAAATGCCCTTGCATTATTTTGGGATGCCTTTGAAGTTTTTTGTTTTGGGGGCATTTTTGTCCAATACTTTTTGGTAAAGCATTATGAATAAAGGACACTATTCCATTTTGTGTCTCTTTTATATATACTAGCCTTCATGCACGCGCTCATGCGCGTGCAGAAGACATTTTTTGAATCGGCGAAATTATTTGCAAATGACGAAAGAATTAATATTTAAGTAGTTTTAGATCATCTGAGAATTTTATAGCCAATGTATTTATATGCGTAAATTTACGGAAAGGAAATAATATTGTATAACAAAATCATTATGAAGTATAATATGTTTAATAAAAAAAAATTTTAGATCATGCATGGAAAAAACCTTTATTGCTAGCCCATTTGCCGAGGCTAAGCCCACCCCCTCCCCCTTAGTGTAGATAATATCGTTGTAAAAAAAAAAAACAATCATTTGATAACTTATTTAATCACATTGTTATCCGCGTACGAAAAACCTTTTTTATAACCTGCATTATACGCCTCTTAAGATGTTTTGAATATGTTTAAAAATAAAGAAATTAAATCACATTATTGATAGCTTATTATGAGGTACTAATTAAAAATAAAGCACGAAAAAGTAAATTATTAAAGAAACACTGTTAAAATGACGAAAATGCCCCGACCTTTGAAGTTTTTTGTTTTGGAGGCATTTTTGTCCAAATATTTTTGTTGAAGCATGGTGACACTATTCCTCATTTTCATTCTCTTTATATATAATAGATGGATATTTCAGACCACTTAAACGATACATACCATGTAAGAAAAATTGTTGTTCAGTGCGCCATTAGTGAAAAGTTCTGCATTTTATTGAAGATCTGTAAAATCATGATATGCCTTTCAAACCAGTAAAAGCCTAGTACGGATAAGGTATTATTCTCATAACATCCAGTTCGACTGTACTGAACATGTTTATCCACTACAAGAACAAAAGACTACAAGGTCTTGACACAAATGTTCATCTCTATTGAACGAAAAGCCTATGGCGCTTAACCTGAAAGATCAAACCCCTCGGGTTTTCTAGTCGCGGAACTCGTCCATGAACGACTTGTGGAAGTCTGTCAGACGGGTGACAATGGCTGGAATTTTATCCTCTTGAGGCAATATAGTGCATCTGAAATGCCAGGTGCCCAGAACCTGTCACAGTGCAAAGGAAAAAAATCTTCAGTTAAAACTGCTCAACATGACAGTCGTTTAATCTTAATCAACAAAATGATGGGTTTGTCAACTTCTTATAGTTTTGTTGAATTAAACGCGGTCCTATTTAATCACCAACACTTTGTGGACCATAATTTTGTATCCCTTAAACTCTCAAAATTCAAATATTTCACTGTTCTGCCATGAGGTCTACTTGTCATTTCGCTTAGAAAATATACAAGGCAAGGATAATATCGTATTACCACTTGATAAGTTGCATAATATTTTCAATTTAGGTGAGCAGCCATTCCTACCACGCTAAGTAACAGACAAGAATAAATAAACTAACCTGCCCAAAACCAGAACCAGGAACGACCACAATGCCTGTGGCATTGAGAAGGCGGCGACAATAGAATGCATCTGGGGCTGTCGTTGCAGCCTCCGCTGCTTTAATTGCCTTTTGAGGCAGGGTTATGCAGGGAAAGAGATACATTGCTCCTTCTGCTCTGTTGCATGTCACACCCTCCAAGCTATTCCATGCTTCTTCTAATGCCTGCATTTCAAAAGAACCTCAGTCGCGCTGTGCAAAAAATTTAACGAACTTCGGAAACTAATGTCATCCTATTGTATTTACTGTTTCATACTACTAACCTTCGCACGCCTTGCTAGGGATGACAGAATTCCATCCTTCTCGGCCAAATATATTTCATAGGATTCATCTCCAACCTGAATTCAACCAAGAAGTTTCATCCATTAGAAAACAAACTTATTTGATTTACCAAGTTTAACATCAACTGAATTTCCAGATCCCCATGCCATGTGTAACAAATTTAAGTGAAAGGACGAGAAAAATTGTACTCCTCCAAAGCCCCAATGGCACACTTAACAGAAGAACATCGTCCAAAAATTTCTGATTTGGAATGTTTGGAAATTTGTTAAATAATCAGTAAGCCTCAAAATGACCCAGAATGAAGTGTCTGCCAAATGGTTTTAAACTAGTATGCCTTTTCCCATTTCGGACATTCCAATATTTGAACCTAACTACGATGCTAAATCCTCAATTCTCAATCCTAAACCCGAAATAATTTCTCAGAGAAAAGTTAAATACAAGATTATTACAAACTAACCTTTGGTGGACTCATGACAAGGCTTGTAAGAATTTGACCAGAGATATTAGAACAAAGATTTACGGATGCCATTTTGTATACTTGTTCCCTTACTTCAGGACTGATTCCAGTGACTTCCATGTAACCACCTCTTTTTCCACACTCCCCGTAGAACCCTACTTGAGAGAAAAAAAATGACAAACTGTTCCAGGTTCATTAATTTCAACGAGCTCCTTGCCTTCATGATGAACATAACGATCCACCAAATTACCTTTAGAGACTGACTGAAATGATACCAGAGATATATCCTGCTCGCCATATCCCATAGACCGGGATACCTTCTTGAATGAATGAAACTCCTTATCAGGTACATAAACATTTTGTTGATAAACCTGTATAAATTCATTGAAACATGAGACCAGGAAGTAGCTATAGAAGTTTCTAACCACATTTACAGGTCTTCAACTATGTCACAAAGTAATTAAAGTAAATCTTCTAAACAAAAATCCATCTACCTCATCTGCCAGCAAAACAAGACCTTCTTGCTTGCAGAAGTCCACAATCTGCCGCTGGTTGTCCTCGGCAAGAACCTGCAGACAAGATAACATAAAACTTAACCAATGACATTCCAGAATTAAGCACAAGATTCTCTTCCAATAGACTATTGACAAGGACTTTTCTGATTAAAAGCAACTCATATCTCACCTGTCCTGTTGGGTTGCCTGGATTTATCACAACCAAGGCCCTTACATTGATACCCTTGGACTTCGCATCCTCCAATTGCTTCTTCAACTCAGAAGTTTCCAATCCCCACCCCGATGCCTCATCAAGAAAGTAGGGAACCTGCATAAACCAAGCCACAGATTTGAATTCTTACAATGATAAATGATAAATATAGATAACATTCTCCAACTTCTAATTTCTGGCAGTCATGTAACATCAATTTCCTAATGATCAGGCAATTCACTAATTAGTTCAATTAAAGCTCGAGTTTTAGTCAATAACAAGTTAGTCTTTCAGTAATAGAGTATAAATGCAAAACAATTTCTATTTATTGACATTTATCAAATGAATAACTTGACATACCAGTGTGCCACCGTGGAGGGCAATTGAAGCAGAGTACAAAGGGTATTGAGGAATGGGACAAAGAATCCCATCCTTCTCTGAACTTATCAGCAATTGCATCATCATATGAATCTGGAAAGAGAGAAAGGAGATGGTTATGAAGTGGAACTTGATATATTGAGGAACACCGTGACACTACTAAAGTTGAACAGAGGGGAACTCAGGAGATACCGCAGGGCTTGCACCATCGGTTAAGAAAATATCATTCGGATGAGCAGCATATCCATCACGAGCTTCAATTCCAGCAGCAATTGTATCACGTAAAGCCTTGATACCCTGATGTCAAAGTAGGCCAAAAGGGTGAATGCATTATATGACATTTTGCTTATGAGTTTCATCCAAGTTTTACAAATTTATGTGATGTAAAACCAACGAGCTTACCTGACTGTGACTATAAGCACCAGTTGCTCTTCCAGGAATTTGATCCAGAATCTGCCATGCCCGCTCTATTGCATCGGCACTGCAACGGATAACAAAGATATCAACAGAAAGATAAGATTTTAACTTCTAGGAAGCCTTCTCTATGATTTCTTACTATTAAATTGAATAGGATTGTAGGATGCCTAAAAATATTCTTATACGTTACAAGTTTCCGATACCTGAACAAACCCTGTGTTTGGCTTTTGTCCAACATGGCTGGATGGTCACATAATGCAAGAACCTGAAACAAAGATTGTAACGATTAAGGATTACATGAGATGTTTCAACATTAATGTTATCAACCATGTAGTCCGCTAAACCAACCTCTCGGAAAAATGTTATCGGTTGCTGACCAAGAGACTGAGGATTTCCGATATTGCAGTAAAGAATCTGTATAACATATGTTCACAGTGAGTACCCAAGTGAGAGCATGTCCTAAAATATATAGATTGAATACTGTAACTCGTCAAAGGAGAAAGTAAACACACCTCATCAAAGGGATGAGAGCCGGGATTCGCCTTTAATTCTTCTTGTAACCTCTGTGACAGGAGGGCATTACAAAGAAAATTAAGATAAGGGAAAGAATTACTTCACTTAGATTCAGTCATAAATTTATGGTCATGTATGTACCTGGGCAAGGGTGACCATTTCACCTCGGACAGCATATTCACATTTCAAAACCTGTAAAAATTAGCAGTGAGTAGTGATAAATGGAGTAGAATATGTTCACCACTACTAAGGAATCAGGAAACAAATTTAAGTATTTGACTGAGAAACTAAAAACTAGATTAAATAACCAATTAATCTAATTATTACCCTCTTGAAAAATGAAAACAAATCGAGTTAATCTCTTCATAGCGACGAGTTAAATTTACTTTGTCAAAAGTTAAAATATAAAACAAAAATGAGGCTACTTAGTAGTATGGTCAGGTGGCATTCATCTTCGCGAGGTATTAGGGTCGAATCTCGTAGATAGTAAATTTAATATCAAATTAGGTTGTCAAGTTATACAGAACTCCCTCATTTCCTTAGTGTAAGATATATCGTTGTATTAAAAAAAATTGAGGTCAAGAATAAGAGAGCTAGTGATGCAACAATGTCTTGGCTGAAATAAAATAGAAAATTAGAAATTAAAAATTCCCAATATACCGTACATCCACGATTCATGATCCATCAATCTTATAACTATTAGTTATTATTATTATTATTATTATTATTATTATTATTATTAATTTTTAAGAGAAAAACATGAAATCTAAAGACGAAAGAAACTACGTAGATTAAAGGGTTAATCTTAGTTTACTACCATCAAATTTCATGGTTTTTAACATTTATTACATGAAGCTTTTTTCATCTCAAAGTCATATCTAAAGTGTTAATTTTGAGACAGTCTCATATATATGTTAATTTGGTTATTAAATCTTTCGTTAACTAATGACGTGATGTCTATGTAGACTTTGACTGAATACCACATGTCAATAAAGGTTCTGTGGATGTTAAAAATTAAAAAAATTAAAAAAAAAAAGTTCATTCTTCCTCAAATCCCTCACCCTCCTCCATTCTCCCTCCCTTCTCTCCTCTCCACCTGCCAACCTCTGCAGGGTAGAGAAAGAGGGGGTCGGGGGTTTGAGGAAGAAGACTTTTTCTTTTTATAACTTTTTAATGTTTAATGTTTAATTTTTTTTTTTATTTTTAATATCCATATGGAACCTTTATTGATAAGTGATGTTCAGTTATTGTCCACATGAACGTCACGTTATTAGTTAACGAAAAATTTAGCAGTTAGATAAACAGATGTACGAGACTGTCTCAAAATTAATACTTTAGGTATGAATTTAGAGCGAAAAAAACTTTTTATATTAAATATTGAAAAGCATAAAATTTAAAGGTAGTAAACTGAGATTAACCTAAATTAAAATTATACGAGATCATAAACCCCAAGAGTCAAAATAACAAACAAATCACAAAAACCCAACTCAAAAAAAATCACAAACCAGAAAATAAACCGAGTTGAACCTTGGGATTGATGTTCTGAAGAGCCATGGGAGGAAGAGAAGGAGGGAAATCTACAGCTGGAGCGGTGGAGGAAGACAGGAAGCGTGACCGAGAAGAAGAGAACACAGAGGAAGAGGAGCTTGTTGGACGAATCTCTGTTGCTGAATCGAACGGATGAGAATGTTTCTTACTCTGCCGCTTGCGAATTTCCGCATTTTCGAGTTTTTATAGAGGAAACAAAAAAGCAGTGAAATTTTATGCGTGCTGTGATGCAAAGGGAAGCTAAATCTATGGGATTTTGGGCACCTTCTTCCAAAAGGTAATACTGTGTGTGTCGATTGTTTGCTGAGTCCACGAGTTTCACTGTTTGATGCCCATCTCCCACGGAATATGACCCTCTGTTTGGACGTGGATTTTCTAAGTGATTGCAAATTTTAATTACGTTGCTAGTTTATTGAGAGCTTAGTGCACTCATTTATTTTGAGTGTAGATAATATTATTTGTTAAAAAAAAAAAAAACACTTCGTCATATGATTTAAGAAATATGATTTAAATAGGTGGTCTCTGTAGCATTATCTTAATAAAAATAACTAGTATTTTTTTTTTATACATACACTAGAATGTAAAATTAAATCATAATACTAAGTAACAGAAACAAAATACCATTAGAAAGCTCTGAACATCAAGTTTTTTACTAAAATATCAAACTTTGTATTACAACAACAATCACCAAAACTTATTGCACTAAATGAGGTTGGCTGTTTGAATCTTAAAACAATATTACACATGGTTTTGTGCCAAGTTTCCTTTAGTTTAAGTACTCCATAAGTCTATTTTCAAATATTTATGGGTCTTTCTCCATCATTTTTTGCCTCATAGTCACATCTTCTAATCAAAGTATTTGTAGGTCTTCGATTTACGTGTCCAAATCACCTTGACGGATTTTTTTTCATCTTATCTTCAATTGCGGCCACTTCTACTTTATCTCGGATATCTTCGTTCTTAAACCTATCCTTCCTCATGTGCCCATAAATACAACGAATCATTCTTATCTCTGCTACGCTCATTTTTTGCATGTGTTGTTTTCTGACCGCCCCAACATTACATGACATAAAGCATTACTAGCCTATAAAAAATTTCTGGAGCTTTAGTAGCATACAACGATTGCATAACCCATACGATGCACTCTTCCACTTCATCCATCCATCTTGTATTTATATAGTTGAGATCTCTATCTAATTCTTCATTCTTTGCAAGATAAATCCATGATAACGAAAGCGTTCACTTCTTGATCACCAATCTTCACCCATATCTCATTTTACCTACATTCCCATTGAACTTGCATTCCATGTACCCCGTCTTTGGTCTACTTAGGCAAAAACCTTTAGATTCCAACACTTCTCGCAAAAGGTTAAGTTTCGCATTTACTTTATCCTGCTTTTCATCTATCATCATGATATCATTTGTGAAAAGTATATACTAAAGGATATCATCTTGAATCTGTCACATTAACTTGTCCGTTACCAATGCAAAAGGCAAGGACTTAGTTGAGCCTTGTTGTAATCCTATGGTTATGGAAAAAGTTTTCAGTTTGTCCTTCATGAGCTCTTACTGCAGTATTTCCTCCATCATATATATCCTTCATTGCTTGGATATCTTCTATTCGTACTCCTTTCTTCTTTAGAATCATCCAAAGAATTTCTCTAGGGACAATGTCATGCGCTTTTTCCAAATGCATGAAGACCATGTGTATCTCTATATTGTTCCATTGATGGTTGTAAGACATAAATTGTCTCTATAGTCGAGCGTCCTGCCATGAACTTGAATCGTTTCTTTAAGACTCGTGTCTCTTGACTCAGCCTACGCTCAATTACTCTCTTTCAACGCTTCATTGTATGACTCATTAACTTAATATCCAAAAAAATCATGCAATTTTGTATGTCACTGTTATTCTTGTAGATAAGCACCAAAGTGATTTTTAGCCACTCATTTATAAACTTCTTTGTTTTCAAAATCTTATTATAAAGATTTATTATGAACCATGCTATATACCTGTATTTCCAAAGGCTTTCCATTTACACATCAAATATCAAATTTGTCTTGAATTTCAAGTTGAGTAAGAGGTTGTAACTAATACCCTGGCTATTTATTGTTTTTCATTTTGTCAATATTTCATTGATAAGAGAATTGTTGAGGCCATAAGGACAAGACAACTTTTGCACCAAACAATTACATACCCAAACTTATTCACCAAGAAAAAGAAGAAAATATGCCATTACAATCAGTGCCCTCTTAAGTTAAATAAATTCATTAAACGTTTATGCATCTCTGTGTTAAAGAATGTTCTAACTCCGCCAACGCATCCTCCTCTCTCACCCTCCCATTCTCCTTTGTACTCTAACTCCTCACCTGAAGAGATTCATGGGCGAGTACGACCAGACTGCATGATCGTGATCATCGGATCGCCCGCACAAAACACCCCACCCCTGGTATTGAAGAGAGAGAGAGAGAGAGAGAGAGAGAGAGAGAGTATTTCTTCAACACTATTTGCAACTAAATCTTGAAATCTTGATCAGAATTTTTCATATATTTTCAAGTGTACCAAAAAAAGAATGTAACTACATGACTTTCCAGGGGAGAATGGCAAAGAATGTTAAGAAAGGAAGGGGGCATACAAAAAGTGTTACAGATGTGTGGCTATCAACTGTAATGATAGAAAAAGGAACAGTAAATTATACCAAACATATTCTTCAAGAGATTAATTTCTCAACGCTTGAATTTTTAACAACTCTCGATTTTTTGGATCACAAGGAAGACTGAAATGTTACATCAGTCGACGGTAACCACTCATCGCCTTGGATCAATGACGTTACTGTGAACTTGACCACCTCGTTATCGGTAAGAGTAGGCTTGTAACCCGCCCACTTAACCCTTTGATCTACACCTGATCCAGGGCCACTGTTTTGGTACTCTGCATAGAATATGGTGCTGGGTGGGTCAACATTTGTAACCCATTCTTTCCAGCCCGATGGGTTCAAGAATGATCCAATCTTAGACTGCAAGATGACTGTGGTGGAGTAATCCTTCCAAGGCCTGCCCAGATATGTTTGAGCAGTGAGATTACTGTCTAGCGCAGAGAATCTGCAATTTTGGATTGAAATGCCGGTGTTCTGATTCGGGTCCTTTTTGCCTTGAGCTGTGATGGTGTTGAATTGGTTTTCCATAGGTTGCCTGGGCTGGATGTTGCAGTCCTGGAAAACTACAGCTGCATTGCCGAAAATGAAGTCTACGGTGCCGGTGATGTCACATTCCCGATAGAATTGTCGGTTGGAATGCGCATAGAGGGTGTCCTGGAAGGCATCAAACGAGCATCTGTAGTACACAGAGAGGTCCGAACCAGAGCGGAATGCCACTGCCTGGTGCTTTATTGCTCCTGCAGTGTTGATGAATCCCATATCTTTCACAATGAAGCCTTTTCCCGCGACAGCTGGCAAACCAAAATGTAATCACAGTAAGAATCCAAACAAAGTGAGTTTACATGCACGCCAGAAAGCTAAAACACAAAACAGTTTGAATCAAAACATGAATTCTCTATCACGTCTCTCAGTCTGAAAACATGAAATCACAACACATTTTCTGAGAGAATGTGAATGCAAGAACACAAACAATCATCCTAATTGCTTGACAAAATTTAGGGGTACTTTCTATAATCTTAAAATGCATACTTGCACAAAAACCAATGGGGAGTTGTGTTTTCTTATCTCTGGTGCAGGCCAACGCGAACAATTGTTTAACGTTTTAGAGTTTAGGGTCCTGCTGCTAGACAGCAATATATAGTATGCATTGCCCTTAAGTGGCTGGGATCCATCCGCTAAACACCCTTGAACTCTTCAACGCATTCCGCATGTTCAACGGTTAAATTAACCAAAATTCCTAATTTTCTAGAACAGGAGGAGCTAACAAATTGCATGACATGCACAAATGTTCATCAACACAACATCGTTCCAGGCAATCAACGAGAAAAAGTCAGCTGATCCACCACGTGATGTCATGCAGGATAGAGAGGCAACACTTGCATTTCGGATTGCGCAAAGTTGCTAACTTGCAAAGTAAATTAAATATGCAACAAATGGGCCCACCACATGAACAAGAAGCAATATCTTTAATCATAAACCAGACAAGCACATGGTGGTGGGCATCGACCGTCCTCCCGCATCACCAAGATAGATATCCAGTCCAATTTAATTGTATTTAATCCAAGCTTTGAACTTTTCATAAAAAAAAAAAAAATTGGCTTATTTTTAGCTACACTAGATGGAATCGATTTCAATCTTACTTTGCTCCCAGAAACTCAAAAGTCGCCACCTTAATCCATGAAACGTGATTTTTATCCCACTTTACCCCTTGAAACTCAAAAGTTGCCACTTTACTCACCGGAACTTGATTTTGATCCCACTTTGCTTCCTGAAACTCAAAACTTGCCACTTTTGAGTTATTTAGCAAAATACGTAGGAATAAGCGTAAGTTGAGTAAATATTGAGTTTCAGAGAATAAAGTAGCCACTTTTGAGTTTCAGGGGGCAAAGTGAGACCGAAATCAAGTTTCAAGGAGCACAGAATGGCTACTTTTGAGTTTCAGAGGGCAAAGTGAGATCAAAATCGAGTTCTAGGGAGCAAAGTGGCAACTTTTGAGTTGCAGGGGGCAAAGTGAGATCGAAATCGAGTTCTATGGAGTGTAGCTAAAAATAAGGCTAAAAATATGTAAAAAAGAACAAAACAATATCAACTGTTGAAAGAGTAGCACTAGACATCATAGTTAACATGAAGATGCATAAACCAAGTGACCGGATCCTAATTTAGCCCTATCATTATAAATGTCATCAAATAGAAAGGCAACATGGTCTCAATGTGTATGGTCTCCTTCCTAGCTCCAACCTCAACGTTTCACGTTTCCCATTCCTCACATGGGGGAGAAGGACTTCTTAGAACGGATTCACCGCCACTGTGGTCTTCTGGAACAAGACCATGTATAGAGATCCAAGAAATCATGATGACAGCGAATCCTTTCCATTAGAATACTGGAATTTCCTTCACTTAAGCTAGCCATGTTAGAATACCTTGATGCTTGGAGTAAAGCCTATTAACCTAGCGTTTCTATATGCGGCCGGAGGCCCTTGATCAATTGAGCTAACCCACATTTGCGCCTAGTGTTTCGGATATAGTATCACACAACAAATACATCATCTATCTCACTAGGTGTTTCTCCTAAATCCTAACACTGATTGTTCAATCTCAAGACAAGAATGAAATTAATCAAACCAAAACAATGACAGAAGACAAAATAGGAAACTAATTAACACATGATTAAGTAAACTGAAGTGGTGGTGGTTTAAGAATTACTACCAAATGTGGCGGTGGTGAAG